GGTAATACGTTATTAATTTTATATAATATATTAATAATATAATAATATAATATATTATTAATATAATAACATAATTAATAATATAATATATTATTAATATTAAGGTTAAATATCATTTAATTAAATTTAATAAATTTAATAAAATTCAATTTACTGTACTGCTTTCGCGAATGTTTTATTAAAAGGACAGATTCTTTAAATTGGTTGCATTAAGAGGTACAAATATTCGTTTTTTATTTCTTTATTCATCAGGGTGTACTTTATACAATTATTTTAACTTCAATCAAACCTATCAATTAATTAAATGAATAAACCTGTAAAGAGCGCCGATTTGAAATTGTGGAACGAATTACATAAAAATGTCAAGATCGAATGTCGAAACTAAAAAAACAATAGCGAAGACAATCTAATAAAAACGGAGAAAATTCGGACAAATATTATTATATTTGTCCTAAAAAGAAAACTGTCTATAAAAAGAAAACTCCTGTACTAGTTTCTTTTAAAAAGTTCTTACAATATCGCTTTATCGCTGTAGTCCTTTATTATTATTCTAAATTATTAAATTTATAATATTTATTATATTATGAATATATAATTTTACAGTTATTATTATATATTATATATATATATATATATATTATTATATTATATAGGCAGCAATTTTACAGGTATTATTATTACAGCATTTATTAACAGCGCTTTATTACACGTTAAATACCGTAAATTGTGCGATCATGTGAAGATCGCGTCGACGGATGTTTCTTACGGACTCGAAGTCGAGCTCGTCCGAGCGACAAGCAATCCATCAACGAAACAATTAACGACGAGATCGAAACCTTAAACGTAAGATTAACGGCGCGGGCGTGGCATGCGAAAGTGACCCTCGCCGATAACCTTCGTTTAGGGGGATGCGGCCGCGCATACTAATTCAGCGGCAGCCGACACTTTATGCTCCGCGGGCTGATCAAAGTTACCCTTTCGGCTAAACGTCGGCACAAACGCGTCACGAACGGAATCGAATTAAAAGAGGACGTGCCGCAGCTTCAAGCCGGTATTGTAACCGTAACCCAAATCAGATTCGGTCCTCAGCAACCCACTGGTAACCCGTATAGCCTTGGTAACTGGCTACCAGATGACGCAGAGAGAAACCCTGTTTACCCGCCGAGAGCGACCGCTCGCGCAAGCCGCGTTCGTTCCGTTTTAAGATCAACGGATCCAGCCCCCCTCCCCCCAACCCGCCTTCTTTATTATTGTTCTCCTTCTCTCCTTGTTATTCTCGTGTTTGTTATTATTAATAACACGTCTGTTATTGTTAATAACCGGAGTTACCCCAGCCAACCGTGCGCCGCCATTTGCTGCGCGAACAGCGAGGGCGTAACCGAGGTAATTGCTTAACCACAAGCCCCCGGGGCTGTTTAATTAAGACCGATTCATACTTTCAATAGTTTTCATGTTTTTTTTAGCGGGAGTAAGTGGGTCAGCGTTTTATTCGCTGGAAACGCGTTACATGTCGCATTGGGCTGTTCGACGGTCTTTCGAAAATTGTTCTTTCAATTGTTTTTCTTCTTTTTTTTTAATGGCGATATCGGTCGTAGTCGTTAATTGAAAATTGTTTGCGGCAATGTAATTCGATCGAGTCTTTTGACAACGTCGAAGAAATGATCTACCGATGTCTTTTGGTTTTTACCTTGAGATACATGAAACTAGAGTGACCGATTAAAACGGGGGAACAATGAAACGTATTTTCCTTCGTGAATAATTTTAATGAACCGAAAATATCGCAACGATATCCTCAAATTCGTCCAACGTTTTCGCAGAATTGTTTATTATCCATTTTATTTTATCGTATATAAATATAATAGTATAAAATCCGTAGCCGAACCATAATTATTATAATTGATAATAATTCACTATATATTAATTATAGTTATATAAATATATATTATATAATAATTATATCTATATTAATTATTATAATAATTATAATAATAATTATATAAATATAAACTATATAATAATTATGTCTATATTAATTATAATTATAATTATAATTATATAAATATGTGCTATATAATAATTATAATTATAATTATATAAATATGTGCTATATAATAATTATATCTATATTAATTATAATTATAATTATATAAATATATACTATATACTAATTATAAATATATTAATTATAATTATAGATATAATATTATACAATATATAATCATAATCGATCATAATTTAGGTAGGTAGGTTATAGTCGGAAAAGTGAATGTTTGCACAAGGTTCACCTAATTCAGCGGCCATGAACTGTAAACGTGATAAAAATATGTCAAGGATATCATGCTGTTATACATATCGTATATCGTGCAATATCGTGCAATGTCGAACGTTGTCCAAAACATTAAAAAAATGACACGTTCAGCCAGTATTGAAGGTAGCAATACGATTTTCTATTGTTTCAGGACTTTGTCACCGGTCTCAGTATACTGTCTCGAGGTTCCATCGATGAAAAACTGCGTTGGACGTTCTCCCTTTACGACATCAACGGCGACGGTTGTATCACGAGAGAAGAAATGACGGACATCGTGACAGCTGTATACGAGCTGATGGGGAAGTTCGCCGATCCAAATTTGGACCATCAAGGCGTCCGTGAGAAAGTCGATCGGATGTTTCAGGTACGAGGTTCCCCGTATTTTTATGTTTCTCGAAAACTCTATGCTTTTATTCGCGGCAGTTTCATTTTACTGCCGGTATATGTGTCGATCGAAAAGGAACGTGACAGCATTTCCAAAACAATTTTAAATAGTTTTTAATCGACGCGCAAATGTCGAATCAGCTTTGAAAAATTGAAAATGTGACTGGCTTGAAAAAGACAAAATTGCATTATAGTTTTGTGGAGGCAAACATCGCATTCAGTCGAAATAGGTAAAAATACTGCACCAGTGTTTCTTGAAGATTTTTAGATATTTTTGAAACGACTAGCAAACGTAAAAGAATTTTTGAAAATTTAAAATCGTGGACAGACGAGAATGTATTATATAATAGTAATAATGCTTCTATAATAATTTTGAATACTCTTAAAATAATTCTCAGACATAAAAGCACCCTTAAATAATTCAAAACCTGACCGAAGGAAACCAAAAACATTGCATTCAGTCAAAAAAAGTAAAAATACTGCACCAGTGTTTCTTGAACATTTTTAGATATTTTTAAAACGATTAGGAAATATAAAAGAATTTTTGAAAATTTAAAATCGTGGACAGACGAGAATGTATTATATAATAGTAATAATACTACCATAATAATTTCGGATACTCTTAAAATAATTCTCAAACGTAAAAGCACCCTTAAATAATTCAAAACCCGACCGAAGGAAACCGCGACGTTAAAAAGATGAAAGAACGCAGCACCGTTTCTAATAATAACGTCAGATATTCCAGAATATCCTGGACCATAAAATCGCTTTTCTCAAAAATTCTACACTTGACCAAGTAAAAAATTATTAAACGCGACAGCGTCGGAAAGAAAAAACTGTAAAAAAAGTTCGCAAAATTTCGACAGGATCGAAACTATTTCCGGAAGCAATCTCGAATATCGTATTCGTCCGCGTCGGAGATAAAAAAATGAAACGGCAAGAAATTGTTTTAATATTTCAAGAGTATTTTTCCCACGCGACCTGTACGAGAAAAACAGTCGGGAAGCTTTCCTCCGCGCTCGCGCGCTTCGACCGACAGCTGTGCTCGTTCACTTCGACAGGAACGATGAAAAGAGAACGAGCGCTTGCTTATAAAGTGTCTCGGCTTCGATGATAACAGAAAAAAGTCTTACCTTCTTATCGGCTATCACATTGTTAGCTGCGAATGACAATGTCTGCAACAGCGTACTCGTGCCCATTGTTATCTTCCCTCGCATCGAATAAAGGACGATTCGATTCGATCCGATTCGTTCGCGGTGAAAGGGGGGGGGCGGAGACAATTTGCGGAAATATCCCGCGTCTTCGCGCCAGAAACAAGTCCCTGTTATCCCGCGTGCCTGCAGTCGCGCCTGGACGTGCGTCTAGATTTATGGTCGACGGGCATAACGTTATTTTTGACGTATCGATAAATCAAAGAAATAACGATAGCGACGAGAATCGCTTATTTTCTAAGGGCGCACATAATTCGACGATAAGTCAAGGAAAACGCGAAATCGGTCGACTATACAGCGTGGTCCATCTAAATGAGGCCACAAATATATACCACAAATTAAATAACAAATTAATTATATTAATAATTAATATAATTAATATATATATTTTTATATTATTTATTATTATTATTTATATTATTTATATTTATATAAAGAATTTATTTTGCATCCCTATATATATACAAAATAAATTCTTTATATAAAGATAAATAATATAAATAATAATAATTATTTTATAATTTATAATAGTATAGTATAATATACTATACTATACTATAATACTATACTATAATATATACTAATATATACTATATAATATAATATATAATATACTATATATATATCCTGTAATTGTAGGGATACAAAATAAATTCTTTATGCTATTTCAATGGTTTGGAAAAACCATCGTATTGCAACAAAAATTGTTATTTTTTCAAAGTTTTCAAGGTCCTCATGTTCTTTTTGCGTATAACTGCATAATTTGTATAAATTGTATATACGGGGTGTCTTTCTAACGGTTCAATGCAGAAAATATTTCCAGATTTTACACGATTAAGATTATATTTTTCTAGATACTCTCTTATCAGACCTAACGGAAGAGTATTTCCTTAAAGACATAACTATAGTCCTTAAAAAGATCGATCAAATCGGACCCAAGCTTTAGGATACCATGGAACCAACAGTTAGGTTAGGGATAAGTACAGTCGAATACTTTTTGCGAAAGCAATAGCCGATTCCGCAGTGTTGTACACGGTCGGCGACGCTAATTTATGGGCCAATATCCTTGAACAAGGGACTTTGTGCAACGTCCTCTGCGTAGCCTGCGTGAGGCAGCTAAATCATGGGGTCAGCAGGCGTTGCACAATCCGGAGACACCGCCTTAAATTTCTCCTCCTCCTTCTCCCCCTGTAAATCCTCCTCCAACCGGAACAAGCAATTAGGGATTTCGAGATTTGTTTAAATTCTGCGTAAGCGAACCGTGTCTTTTCGGGTCTAAAAAGGTCTAATTTATCGGAACGAAAAAAACAGGATCGAAGAATCCGCCGGGTTCGGTTCCGATGCTCTCGTTCGGTGCACGAGCACTCGAGCGCCGCTTCCTTGATAAAAAGCTCCGTTCGTCCCGGGTGTATAACGGGCAACGGCGCGCCGTTTTTGGAAAGGTCGCTTACCGCCTTCATGCAATATGCACGATTGTTATTAATGGAACATCGTGAAGTAGCATTATAAACTGTCTCCCACGGTATTGCTCGTAAAATGATTACACGGTCTCGATAACTTCGTTATTACTAAAACTGATGCTAATTACTTTGCCAAAAGAGAGAGAGGGAGAGACAGAGAGAGGAGAGAAACTGTGTTTTATCTGTGAAATGGTAATGACGCCGGCGGAAGTCAGTTACTAATAGACCGCGGAACTTTGTTCCTCTCAAAAGTCCAGTGCAAAAGTCCTCGAAAAACTGCGATATAAAAGATTTTACGCAACTGAATATTCCGAAGTTAGTTGCGAGGAAAATAAGATTTTATTCAATCTCGGTTGCCGCGGAGCTAATTGGACGTTTCGGCAAAATTCTGCTGGCAAAACGTGCTACGAAGTTTTTCGTAATTTTAACGATATCATTACACTATGTATTTATCTTCGAATTTTTTGATAATTATTAAACTACTGTTCTGATTGGAAATTCATATTTTTGTACAGTTAATTTACGAAATTTCGAAGAGGAAAATTTCCTTAACCTAAAAAATATCCATTTCAAAGAGAAAACAAAAATGCTATTAACACTTTGACTCTCTCTATTAATTAATTAATCTATATTATTACACTCTGTATTTATCTTCGAATTTTGATAATTACTAAACTGCTGTTCTGATTAGAAATTCATATTTTTGTACAGTTAGTTTACAAAATTTCAAACAAGAGGAAAATTTCCTTAACCTAAAGAATATCCATTTTAAAGAGAAAAGAAAAATGCTATTAACACTTCGACTCTCTCTATTAATTAATTAATCTATATTATTACACTCTGTATTTATCTTCGAATTTTGATAATTACTAAACTGCTGTTCTGATTAGAAATCCACATTTTTGTACAGTTAATTTACGAAATTTCGAAGAGGAAAATTTCCTTAACCTAAAAAATATCCATTTCAAAGAGAAAACAAAAATGCTATTAACACTTTGACTCTCTCTATTAATTAATTAATCTATATTATTACACTCTGTATTTATCTTCGAATTTTGATAATTACTAAACTGCTGTTCTGATTAGAAATCCACATTTTTGTACAGTTAATTTACGAAATTTCGAAGAGGAAAATTTCCTTAACCTAAAAAATATCCATTTTAAAGAGAAAAGAAAAATGCTATTAACACTTCGACTCTCTCTATTAATTAATTAATCTATATTATTACACTCTGTATATATCCTTCGAATTTTGATAATTACTAAACTGCTGCTCTGATTAGAAATTCATATTTTTGTACAGTTAATTAACGAAATATCGAAGAGGAAAATTTCCTTAATTAAAAGAATAACCATTGTAAAGAGAAAAGAAAGCTGCAATTAACACTTCGACTCTCTCTCTCTCTCTCTCTCTCTCTCTCTCTCTCTCTCCAACCACTTAAAAAATATCGTAAAATTAAACTACGTATTTCGTTTAATCGAATTAACATTGAAATCTGAGTTTTATGACCTCGATTACGCCGTCGATATTCTTACGTTTCGCTGATCCTAATGAAATTAGAAAAATATAACAGATCAGCGTGCAAAGTAATGTTCAAATCTGACCTAATAATTCCGTCACCCACGCATGGGTGCCACGCCAATCGAAGCGTTGACATTAATTTAAACGTGATCTTGCATTTTAAAACTCAGCGCACGCAACGAATGCACAACGATCCGAGAATTCGGTTATCGCAAACACGAATTTCATCGCATTCCGAAATTGTTCGGGAGCGTCGGACATCGGTGCACATCGATGACGGAGTTCTTACACCCACGCGGAGAGCCACGCGACGGTAGAAACTTCGCTTTCGTATTTCATACAACTATAAAATAGTAGAAATTCGTCCGGCCGCCGACAAAGAAGAACAGAAGGGCGTAAGTTGCAACATGGAATTGCCAATTTAAAGTTCGTCCCTTGGCGACGCTAAAGCAGAATACGAAGTTTAAAGTGGTCGCGATTTCATTCCTCGCCATTACTTTTTCTTCGACGGGATATTGTACCGAAATACGTTAGCAATCGACGACGCGACAGTGCCGGAAGAAGCTCGCGTCGGTTTTTTACAGCAGCTCGGTGCCGGCGCGGCGCGGCGCGGCCCGACGCGGCGCGTAATAAAATGATTACACGAAACGGCGCATCGATCAGCTTTAATTAACCAAAAAAAAAAAAAGAAAACAATGGAGAGAAATATATTTTCGTGCAGCATCAAAACGCGACGCGTCGTCTTTTATAGACTTTTAATTAAAAAGCGCCTCGCGTCAGAACGAACGGAGTAGAAAGCTCCGATAAAATCAGTTCCATTGTTTCTGAAAACCATCTGCGAAACTTTGGAGAGCCCTTCATAACAATACGGTCAATACGTGGACCGTATGGCACTTAGAAACAGGGTCGAGCACTTTCAGCCATACGTAATTGTAACGTAATTTACTCTGGTAAATATCGAGGGTTTTTATAATCGATCGATATCGGGTGGTGAATTAATTACGGCTACACGCGAAATTGTGCGATCGCCTTTTTAAAACGCGATAACTTTTTTCAAACTGGACCAAAAGACGTGATTATTTGTTCAGGTGATAGAGGAGCTAGTTTATCAGACGATGACTAAAATGCTTTTTCTTAAATTTTGCTATTACTTGGAATCATAGAAAAAGATAAAAAGCGAGAGTTTTTCTATCTTTTTCTGTCATTCCAAGTAATAGCAAAATTTATTTATGCTTCTATAAATGCTTTTTTCTTAAATTTTGCTATTACTTGGAACGATAGAAAAAGATAGAAAAATCGCTCGCTTTTTATCTTTTTCTATCGTTCCAAGTAATAGCAAAATTTAAGAAAAAGCATTTTAGTCGTCGTATTTTCAGCACATAAGCTTTATTCGTTCAGCATACCGGCACATAAGTTATCGAGATCTGCGAGAGGCATTTTTTAAATTTCTGACATAGGCTCGAATAAAAAAGTTAAAAAGCGAGAATAAAAAGAACTCTCGCTTTTTATCTTTTTCTATCGTTCCAAGTAATAGCTCAATTTAAGAAAAAAGTATTTTAGTCATCGTATTTTCAGCGAAAAACTTTTTTATCGAATAAGAAAGTTAAAAAGCGAGAATTTTTTTAATTTTGTTATTCAAGCCTATAACAGAAATATAAATAATGCCTCTCGTAGATCTCGATAACTTATATACTGATACGCTGAATAAATAAAGCTTATGTGCTAACAATTTTATTTTATTACATCAATCAACATTGTTACGAGTAACAACAAATCAAAGATGGCAAAAATCGCAGTTTCGAGTCGCGTGCCATTGCTTGACCGACTCCGTCGATCCTTAGCATCGACGTAGCAATAAATAACATAGACGTAGCACTATGGAAATTAACGGCGACCCGAAATTTGGCATTTCCGGGAGAAATCGCTGTATCCTCTATTCGAGCCGTTTATTTTGAAAGTGGCATAAGTCACTCTTTTTTTCTAAATAAAAAGATACCGTTCAATTGTAATTAGTGTTACCATTAACTCGATTTTTTTGAAAAACTGCCTTATGCCACTGTCAAAATAAACCACTCATTTCACGATCGAAACATTTCAATCCCGGTTTATGTATCTTGCCGAATAATCGCGCGAAATCGAGCCTGCGCCGCGTTGCGGCAGGAACAAGCTCGACCGACGAAGAATTCCGTCGAGCCGCGTAACCGACGCATTGCAGCAGAATCGTCGACAGAATGATCTAACGTTCGGTTTTCTGGTTGTCTTGCAGAAAATGGACGGGAACAAGGACGGCGTGGTGACGCTGTCCGAGTTTTTGGAAGCGTGTCGCGCGGACCCGGACATCTCGACGAGTATGGCAGCCCTGGACACGGCCTTCTGACACTCGGCACGTACGCGATACACTCCGTGGACCTGAAGAGATCGCTCGGTTTGGGAATAAATCGCTCAAACGTTGTTGCCACCGCGGAAACAGGAGGCGACAGCAGCATTTCCTCGAGAATGTTTCGCGAAGGTCCCCCAGCGACGGGAGAGGAGATTCGGCGTATATTCCGGTCGGGAGGGTCTCCGAAGAAAACGACTCAGATACTTTTTCCTGCGCCTCGTCGGAGGCGGCGGCCGCGCGCGTTCGAACGGTCGCGACGGAATCGAAATCGAGAAAAGAAAACGAAAACGGCGCTCGAGATTCCGTGCACAGGCGGCGAACGATCTCGTCTCGCGCGCGAAGGCCCGCGCGGGGAACGATCGCGAGAGGCGAGTTGCTACCCCTTTTCTCCGGAACCTTCTAGTTGTAGCGTCGATACGCGTGTCGCTAGAGGCGGGAGGATTAAAAAAAACGGAGAGAAAAAATCGAGAAGAGAAAAAAAGAAAACAGAAAAATACGCAAAGAATAAACGATATTTCGTGATTGTTAGTAGTTTACGAGTGGAACCTGTTATGGGCCCAGTGTCCAGTAAGTAGATCATTTTTAAGGAACGCGCGCTACAAACGATGAGCGAACGGTGCGATCTTAGAAACGGGGATGACACACGACACGTTCAAGAGAGACGCGCCAATATTGACGACGATTAGATCGACGCGGAGTGGCGACACGGTTGGCGTTCGATCTGAGAGAGCGGAAAATGGAGAAAGAATGATTCTGGCGTGGCGAGGCGCGTCCCGGAGCGCGGGGAGCAGAAAAAGAGAAAGAGAAACGAGCATTTTTGTGAGACAGCTGGCGGTTGTATTTTGTCGAACAATGCTGAAGCGTGTTCCGTTGCTGCGACATTCGGGGGGGAAAAGAAACGGGGAAACGACGGGGATGCGAACAACGTTCGTACGAACCCAACGATTGAGCTTAGCTTTCTACGATCTTTCGTTCCGTTTGTTCCGTCTGCTTAGAGAGAAAGAGAGAGAGAGAGAGAGAGAGAGAGAGAGAGAGAAGCGACGTGTCTCGGCAAAAAAGCAACTACGTAATCGCGTCGACCCTTCCTTTTATACTGGGGAAACACGATGTATCGATACCTAGATTCTCGAAAACGCTTCCGTAACAATAATAACCGTAGCTCACTTTTTTACGACGATCGTGTTTTTTACAAACGCTTGCCGAGTGCTGAACGCGCGCGAGCCAGCCGTGCCGGGGACGCACGCGTTGTTATTTACTTTGACAGGTGACGGAGCAACAATTTATCCTCTCAGTTTCATTTTCTGATATCGCCGTCATCGCGCGATCGGATACAGGAGAAAGCAAAAAATAGAAAATAGAAAAAACGGAAAAAGGAAACGAACGAGAGAAGAACGAGAAGACGCAACGTTGCACGTCGCTACACGCTTGCTCCGTTTTTTTTTTCGCGTCGCCAAGCAGCAGACGCTGGCGAACCGAATTTAATTCACTGGTCCGCGAGACTGTGCTGTAGCCATGATCGCGATAATAAACAGAGAAACGCAGTTCCAGGCATGATCCCAGTGATTTCGTAGTTGTGTCGTAAAAAAAAGCGGCGCGTTATATGCACTTTCAGTTGCACAACGAGACAGTTAGCGAGCGGAGATAGGTCACGTATTCGACGCGACTGGCTCTTTTAAGCCATCGTTGCTGGTTAAAACGGGTAGCATTAATTTATGTAGGAATTCTAATGGTAAATGAGAATGGAGAGCATGAGACACTTTACCGACCGGTTGGACGTACATTATGGATCGTAGCCTAATTATTCGTTGCTATATTTCGACCGAAGTTAATTCTCCCTAATTGACGCCTCGGCTTTGAAACAAAAATGAATAATTTGGGAACAGGAGGTACGATTGTTCCAGCCTTGCGGCTCGTTTTTATGGTTATTGAGAATCGATTACTATAAAAACGAGTCGCAAGGCTCGAATAATCGTATCGTCTTTTCGCAAATTGCTTATTTATGTTTAGAAGCTGAAGCGTGTCGCTGTTAAAATATTGAGATCGACATTTTACCAGTTTCCAAAATTTATATTTGTTACAAAATATTTCACCGAATTAAGCAGTACAGTAAATTGTCCCTAATTAATGTTCAGCTTGTACACTAAAGTCGACATTTTTCAAAGAGGAGATACGATTATTCGAGTCATGCGCCTCGTTTTTATGGTTATTGAGAATCGATTACTATAAAAACGAGTCGCAAGGCTCGAATAATCGTATCGTCTTTTCGCAAATTGTTCATTTATGTTTACAAGCTGAAACGTGTCGCTGTTAAAATATTGGGATCGACTTTTTACCAGTTTCCAAAATTTATATTTGTTACAAAATATTTCACCGATTTAACCGTGCAGTAAATTCTCCCTAATTAATATTCAGCTTGTACACAAAAGTGGACATTTTGCAAAGAGGAGATACGATCGTTCGATTATTTGCGGCTCGTTTTTATAGTTATTGACAATCGATTGCTATAAAAACGAGTCGCAAGGCTCGAACAATCGCATCTCCTCTTCCCAAATTGTCCATTTTTGTGTAAAAGCTGAGCGTCGGTTAGAGAAACTTTACTGTATTTCGACCGAAGTTAATTCTCCCTAATTGACGCTCGGATTCTGCAGAAAAATGGACAGTTTGAGAAGAGGAGATACGATTATTCGAGCCATTCGGCTCGTTTCTACAGTCACCGATTGTCAACGACTGTAAAAGTGAGCCGCGAGGCTCGGATAATCGTATCTTTTCTTTCGAAATTGTTCATTCTTGTGCAAAATCCGAGCGTCAATTAGGGAGAATTTACTGTTACCTTTTACAGCTGTTCACGTCAAACCTTCGTGTGATATTTTCACTTCGTTCGTTCCGAAACGAATGTTTCATTAACCCGAGCTGTAAACAATTAAAGATCGCAAAAATCGCAGCACGCCTTAAGCTGGTTCCTGTGCAATTTCCTTTAGCTACTAATAAAACAATTAAATGGCAAAGAACAAAAAAGACCCAAAACACGCGTCGCCTATTCAAACACGAGCCTAACTAGTTATGTTTATATATTTGGCCCGACTGACGCACCATGGCTCTCATTTCTGGCCTGATCTTTTTTGTCCACGTCTCTGAGACGTGATAATCATTTCTGGCCCGATCTTTTTCGACCACGTCTCCCAGACGTGGTTGTAGGGCAAAGGGTTAATACAATTTCTCTCTAAGGGGTCGAAAGCCATATTCAAAATTAATACTTCGAGAACCACTTTGCACGAACCTTCTATGTATAACGATTATTTCGGTGAATTAATGAATCAATAAATTAATAAATAATTAATGAATTAAATTAATTCGGTGAAAATACATGTACACGAATGATCGGCGAAAATAACGTCAACGCAAAATTGAAACTAAATCGGCGGTCTTAAAATCATCGTATTGGACAATTTTACGGGAATATCAACGACAAAAGGAATCCGATTAAAAAATTTGCCATGGTTTATCCTTGAAACTGCCCCACAGAGAAATCAGAAACAGAAGCTCAGAATGTTAAAAGATGTTGAACCAAAGCGATCGAGTTTCCGTTCCTCGCTCGAAACGCGTGGCGTGCAGCAATTTCGGTGTCCGTTGATTTCTCGCGATTTCGTCGATATACACGGTGGGTAAAGTGTTCATCGAGACGAGTACGACAAATATTAGCGGGCAGGTGAGCACGGGGGACGAATGAAGTTAGCGCGAGCCGTAGAAAGTATATCGTAAATCCCGCTAGAGAGCAGCCGGCCACGTTCGGCCGGACTTATTGTTTCTAGGACGTAAGCGAGTAGATTAAGCGACATAATAGAAGTATTTATTTTTGTGACAGGTAAGCGAAGTATAATAATCGTGGTAAGAAGACAACACTAGCTTGTAAAGACTGCGTGCTGCTATAAAGAGAGAAAGAGAGAGAGAAAGATAAAGCGAGAGAGAGAGAGATAAAAAGAGAGAAAGAAATAAAGAGAGAGAGAGAGATAAAGAGAGAGAGAGAGAAAGAGAGAAATAAAAAGAGGGAGAGAGAGGAAAAGAGAAATAAAAAGAGAGAGAGAGAGATAAAAAGAGAGAGAGATAAAGAGAGAGAGAGATAAAGAGAGAGAGATAAAGAGAGAGAGATAAAAAGAGAGAGAGAGATAAAAAGAGAGAAAGAAATAAAGAGAGAGAGAGAGAGAGAAATAAAAAGAGAGAGAGAGAAAGAGAGAAATAAAAAGAGAGAGAGAGGAAGAGAGAAATAAAGAGAGAGAGAGAGAGCGGAAAAGCGGGAAACGGGGCGACATAGAATCGGATCGCGGGACGGTTTCCTTGATTTTCTCCCATTCGTCCGATCATTGACCGGGACACACTACTCACGGTACCGAATTTAATTGTGATCACTAATTACGAAAACGTTGTGCGATGACTGGACCAAAGCATCCGCGCGACGGGCGACGACGATTCTCCAAATGTATTTAATCATTTCCATCACTGCCTACTTCCGATCGTAACTGTAAATAGGGTGCCATTGCCTAACAAAGATGACTTACGGTGCATCGAAACGTTCAAGTCTGCCACGGAAGAGCTGATAAAAAAAAAGAAGATATATACTCCACCGAGTGCTTATCGTCGACGGATCGTGATCTTCGAGATACGTAAAAAAACCAGAGACACTGATGCATCCGTAATTAGTCGAAAAGAGCTCAACGGAAAGATAGAGAACAAGGGGAAAAGGGAGCGAAAAAGAGAGAAAGAGAGGTAGAGAGAAAGAGAGAGAAAGAGAGATAGGGAGATAGAGAGAAAGAGAGATAGAGAGAAAAGGAGAAAGAGAGAAAAGGAGAGAGAGAGAGAGAGAGAGAGAGAGAGAGAAATAGACACCAGTAAAACCGAGATACCGGTATTTCTCCAATTTTTAGCAGCGCCTACCCTTACAATTAGAACATAAGTTTAACGTGTAAACTGAGGCAAACGACGATGCTTGCCTCGCATCAACTCGATCACTACCGCATGTCTTTGAAGTTACTGGAATAAGTATAGAGAAGACAAAAGGAACGGGGTAATTGCGTTATCTAGTTATTTTCAATATCAACCAAATGTTAGATCTAGATATCGGAGATGACAACAGGCACTTACTTGCACACACAAACACACACACGCACACACACACGTACACGTGAACGTGCGCAAGCGATTACACACGCACACGCCCCCTGATCAGAAATACCATAGATCCAGCACACAGCTTTCCAACGCGAGCCATGAAATTCCAATGTCCGGTTATTTTCCGTCTAATTGCTTCAAATTCAACGTTCAGGATATTTTTAATAGACACTAAAAGTACAAATTAAGTCCTGGTCCTTCGTTTCTTTATCTTGAAATTAATCTTCGATATTAACACGTTTGCTTCATTTTAGAGGAAGCCGGTGAATTTTTTTTCAAAAAATAACAGTTTCGATGCGACGAGATACACTTTTCTTGTATTGTCCGAGTATTTTAATGCAACAAGCTGATCGACGAACTTTTTCTAAACTTCGCTCTTAACAAGCATTTTCCTGCTACGATTTATCCGATAACAGTTTTTGATTTTTTAAAAAAAGTGTAGCATTTGATGCGTTGCTTATCGGACTGCATCGCGTTCAGCGATGTAGTTTAAGCGCAGTTCTCAAAGCTCTGAACATAAATTAAAGTCGCAGTCGATCAACTACGAGGATCACGACCTAATTTATATATCCAATAATTTGACGAGAGTCAATATTACGTGTAGACTGCAAATTTGAGGCATTCGCGACGAAAATGAACAGTTTAAATCAGTTGCTTAAACCAGTTGCTTAAATCAGTAACAGATTGAAAGTGTATACAAGTGTCGATGCATTACTTTCAGCTTGTAAAAATCAGCTTGAAAGAATCAACTCTAAAAAATCAACTTAAAAAAATGTATGTTTAATTTCTGTTTCTTGCAATTCATATAGACAATTTTAATTTCGCGTAAAGATCCGCGCTCTAATTACGAGCCGCGAAGGTTTGGAAATTATGATTTGCATTTTAAAAGTGCAGTCTGCTAGATCAACGGAGAGAAAAATATCCGCACATACAGTAATGTCTCCCTAATTGTCGTCCAAATTGTGCACGAAAGTAGACAATTTGAGAAGAGGAGATACGATTATTCGAGCCTCGCGGCTCGTTTCTTATAATTACCGATTATCATTAACCATGAGAACGAGCCGCAAGGCTCGAACAATCGTATCTCCTCCTCCAAAATTGTCCATTTATATGCACAATCTGAACGTCAATTAGGGAGACTTCACATATGGCTCTATCGTGCGTTCGATCATGGCGGCGTTCACACCACCACAACAAACATACAGCGAATTATCTTATCTTACTCATAGTGTGTCTAGAACTTTACGTCGGTAAGATTCTGTATGTTAGAGAGAGCAATTGCAATCGACGATCACTTAAGAACGGTCGCCGAATGTTAAACAGAAATTCTTATATACGTATTCGACGTGTGTCACTTTAGGGCGCTTCGGAGAGAACAGATGACAGACAGAAAAAATAGGATCGATCCGGAGAGAAATACATATACGTAGATCGCCGTTGATCCGGAAATACGATTTACAGTAATGTCTCTCTAATTGACGCTCAGATTGCGCACAAAAATGGACAATTTGGGAAGAGGAGATACGATTGTTCGAGTCTTGCGGTTTATTTTTATAGTTATAAATTGCCCACAATTATAAAAACGAGCCACAAGGCTCGAATAATCGTATCTCGTATTCGAGTCTTGCGGTTTATTTTTATAGTTATAAATTGCCCACAATTATAAAAACGAGCCACAAGGCTCGAATAATCGTATCTCGTATTCGAGCCTTGCGGTTTATTTTTATAGTTA